CTCCCGTGCGCGAAACAAGTTGCAGATTTTCGTTGCTTTGATGTTTACATGGCACTACAATTCATCAGCAGAATTGCGACCTGGTCACAGAGCCATACTTAGAGGTAGGATTGTTGCATGTGACTTTTCGGCTAATATGCCAGCCACCTTCTCTGGGGGGAAGATTAGTGAAAAGTGTCATGGTAGTTGATGCAATCTCGGTAAATTCCAAAGCCACGCAATACCCCTGGAATTCTGTTGCATCATTGTATCATCGATCAATCAGGTCAGATTAGCCTTATGTACATGAGGAATACGTGAGAATGACTGTAAAGTGTTCAAGGTAGCATGTGCATGCTTCAACGCTTACTAATTTCCAATAATCAAATGTTGCATATCAAATTGTTTATTTTCAACAAGGTGCTGCCTTGACATCTTGTAGTTAAATTATAGTAATATTAATATTATTAACGATCATGAAAGGCAAAATATTATCAATGAAAATCTTGTAATTACCCAGCAATGATCTGCTCCGCGTTTTGATTCCAAATTAAAATATTTATAAGACAATAAATATATATCAATACAAATAAAAAAAAGTACCTCTTTTATTAACACGTTTTCAGAACCATGCTAGCAACAACGCTCACGTTTTGTCATCTTGGACACTGTCAAAAAATAATTTGTTTTTCCAAAAAAAAAAAAAAAAAAAATCAATTCGCGTCTGTCCTACCAGAAAAAAAACCAATAGGATAAATAATTAGTGTACGCGTTGTCGGTCGATCAAATAAACTTTTTTATTTTCAAATAAAAAATGGAATCATCCAAAACCAAAAGAAAGAGAAGCAGAAAAGAAGAAGCTGAAACAATATATGGGTAAGTGTTTTAAGGGTGGTGGTGGTTATCGCCCACCATCACTTGTCGTCACTCTAGTTGTTTTTAAACAAATGGTGGTAGTTATTACCACTTGCAACTTCTCATCATTCTAAAAAATTTACAAATAACATATATATATAGTTGTGTTTCGGTAACGGAAAATAATAAAAAACCTAAAAAAAATAACATTAATTTAATTATAACGAATAATTTTAAAAATGCAGAAAAAATATTTTTAAATAATTTTAAAACAAATATTAAAATTTGAACGGTATTATATTTTTGAAGAAATATATATTTTGAGATCGCAAGTTATTTCGATCAAAACATTCAATAAAGAAGAAATGGCAATCGTAAAAGTTGATCCAACGGAACTAGAAGGTATCCAACATGATGGATACGTAAACAATGAAGGAAATATCACGTTGGCCGCAAGACGTTCAACAATATATTTGCCCAACGAGCTCTTATTTAAAATCTTGTCGTATTATTTCGATTAGCAATATTGATTTTTTAACACTTCCGCTTGGGTTGGATATTTACTATTTAGTATTTCTTGTAAATTTGTATTTGTCATTCTTTAACGTTTATTTTATTGGCTGATATAAATGTCTTTTCGGCAAATTGACTTTAAGGAGCTAAAATCTAATAAATTGTTATAATTTACTCTTTCGCTTAAAGTATCAATAAGTTTTTCCAATTTCATCTTTTGCCTCTTTTTCAGTTTTTACCAGATAATCCTTTGTGCAAACGAATCTGTATCTTTTGTTAGTTTAATATCATGATGCTTTAACTCAATTAGCATTGTATGTTGCTTTAATATATCATTATTAGGTTTGTAGAATTAAGAAATAATTCTTTTTAAAAAAATTAAAAAAAATTATAATTTTATTTAAAAAGGATACTGAATAATTGTCTGTAGTCTAGAATCTTGATGAAGTGAATGTATGATTGCAAAAGAAAACATTCCTTCAGTTAAATCTTCACAAAATCCTTTGTTATTATCATACTATATACATACATACACACATATATAAGTATTAATTATGTATGTTCATTAATGATTTCTGATGCTTTAACTCAATTAGCATTGTATGTTGCTTTAATATATCATTATTAGGTTTGTAGAATTAAGAAATAATTCTTTTTAAAAAAATTAAAAAAAATTATAATTTTATTTAAAAAGGATACTGAATAATTGTCTGTAGTCTAGAATCTTGATGAAGTGAATGTATGATTGCAAAAGAAAACATTCCTTCAGTTAAATCTTCACAAAATCCTTTGTTATTATCATACTATATACATACATACACACATATATAAGTATTAATTATGTATGTTCATTAATGATTTCCAACCATCATCATTGTCGTCATCATCATCATCATCATCATCCGACAGCACAAAAAAAAAAAATTAGAAAAAACACAAAAGTTGCTTCCATCATTAAAAGATTGAAGAGTATAGAATCAAGGTTATTTCACAGTTTATCATCATCATCATCATCATTAATTACAACAAATTCTCCATGGATGTCTTCGGCACTATTTTCTTCCTTGTCAATTTTCTTTTCATAAACACGTTTGATGTTGTCTTCCTCTATTTATCAACAGCAACAGCAGAAGCAACAGGTAGAAGTGGTAAAAGATCCTGATTATAATGATTAGATGTTGCCGTTACTAATATCAATGATAAAAAGGTTTCAACTGAAAACGTTAATAAGCAAACATGAAATAAGATCAAAAAAAAAATTTAAAATGTAATGACTGAAAACGTTGATAAAACTAACATGAAGATGATGACCAAATCTTTTATGAAAGAGAATGTTCAAATAAAGAAGTTCCTATATACAATTTTGATGAAATATGAAGATTGCTCCAAGAAATAAAACCAAGCTTGAAGGGGTTTTTTGACCAACTCTAATTAGCTTGAACGTAATGAACAAACAATGGACCATATGAAGAGATTAATGATGGTGTTCATATGTTATATTCTTGCTTCATTTTAAATAATACAAAAATTAACCCTTTTAAGTTCGACCTTGCATCCCATTTAGATTTGGTAGGTACTACCACTATATCAAGCACGAAATCAGTATCCTTTGATTACTAAAACTTCATCTAATGGTGTTAATTGCATTCTTTAATCTATAAAATAACTGATCGTCACCTTCCATGAGGCTTTGTTACTTCTAGGAAACCATCTACAAATATTTTTTGCAATTACTAATACTAATTTGAATAATTGTAGTGTATATCACAATCCTTGTCTACAAAGGTGCCAATCTAAATGTTTGATATCTTGGACTATCTTCAATTCGAAATCAAAAAAATGTCAACGCACTAAAAGAAAGTATGACGAAAAGATTAAATGAAAATGAACTTATCGAAAATATCGAAAATACAGCTGATGATGATCTGTGTAATGTTGAATCAACAATAGATGATGCAAAAACAATGGAAATTTTATTAGAGCATGCAAAAAAAAAGGTTGTAAATTTTGTTTTTATTAAATAAATTTGTTGATTTTTTCATACACCATTCATGTCTTGTATTAATCGTATAACTTAATTGGTTGTGTTTACAACCATTTCGTCGACATTCATTATATTAAGGTTATTTTGATTATATGGTCAAGAGTAGAGATGGGCAAATGGCGTATAGTTGAACACTATACGACACTATACGATACTTTACGTATAGTGCGTATAGTAC